GGTTTTAACTAATACCAAAACGTGACAGAAAAGCTCTCAATAAAATTACACTCTTAACCAGCTTTGCAATGCAGACAGTTTCTGTTATAAAAGTGCCCCGAGACTGTGTCATATACCCAGGTGCAGTTCTTGCCTTGAGGTTATAATCATGCGAGCAAACAAAACACTGTCTGGTGCCAGAGAGTTACAGCTGTCAGGTTACGTAAGGGTGGGGTGGTGTTAGATAGCGGTAGCTTATTGGACTGTATAATTGAAAGTTACAAGACGTATTCCAAGCTGCGGTCAACTGCTGTGCAATGGATGACACGTGCTTACGTTAGGCGTTCTCTTACTGCTATTAGTATCATACCCCTAGCAATTCAAAGGGTAAGCACAAATGCACGTACCAAAACAAAATACATTTTAGTTGTTTGCAGCTGAAATTACATGATTTTTTAAAACTTCATATGAGACAACTTTACTCACAATGTATTTATATGTTTGATTAATATGGAAAGAATGGATATGATGGAATTTATAAAGTTTAAGATTAGGGCACACGTCTAGAGGAGGTGGAATTAGCATGCTTTACCCTTCATTTTTCAGACCTCTCAAAGGGAATACTGCAGAAATTGCACCAAGCAAGATTTAGTGAAAGATATGGCTTGGGCACAGAGCAAGTTCAGTAGGCTGGCCTGGGGCCCTGTGTACACTGAGGTACAGCTTCCATTTCAGACAAGCAGTTAGATCTATAAGTATGCCCTTGCATTCTAAAATGGCATAGACAGAGTTTTGCAGATTGAAAGAAAAGGTCATTCTTTTGAAAATATTACCCTTTTCTGTAAGGGTAATGAAAAAAGATAACAGGAGCTGGGGAGATGGGTGTAGAAAAGGATAAGGGATAGTAACCACATCTGTGTATATCAACTACAAATCTGTAAGAAGAGGGAAGGCTGTGGCCTCCTTCCCCTGATTACCAGAACTGAGAAGAGTCATACAGAAACGGTTGTGTAGTCCTCTTGCATAATAGCTTCTGCTTTGCATGCAATAGGGAAATATGCATTGCCGGACACTCCATTTTTGTGTTAACCAGTCTCAGAAAACTGAATCTACAAACAAGAAGGCATACCAGCCAGTTTGAATGCAGCTGCACTGGCTTCTTGCTCAGTGGACGCTGGTAAATGGTGGTCTACTCATGTACAATGAATGAACACTACTGTAGGCATAGTCAATGTGTGCCCATTATGGGATGGGGAAAATGGGAACTGAACCTGCAAATCTGAAGCATGTCACGGTAATATTTGCTCCATCTGCTGTCATTTTAAGAAGGAGAGAGAAAAAAAATTCTCGTACCTATTGTAGCTAGGTTGACATAACTGGAGACTATCGCTTAATCATGTAATTACATGAACAGCAATTTAATACCCTGTGAATCTCTGCTTGGCTGAGTTAAAGCCAACTAGATCATCAAGTTGTAACTAAATATTCTAAGTTTCTAGACCAAGCTCAGCCATCAGCTGCTCCCACACAAATTCATTGATTGAAGCACATGGAGTCTATGGGAGTTTAATTTACAGCAGAATATAGCCAGATCTCTATCTTATCTCATCTTATGTTACCAGGTTTTCATCTTAGCAGTTGTCTATAGCCTGATCTGCTTAAATTTACTGGAGTAGCTTCAGTACTCTTTGCTCACAAAGTAATTAGATTACCGTCATAAATAACAAGTTTGGGTGTGGAACTGCTGTCTGCACATTCTCTGCCAAAAAACTTGCTTCGTAGACATTAGATCCTTCTCTTTGTCTTGGGTAACAAGGCTGATGTTAGGAAAGGAAAACAACTGGCCTCTAATGAGCATAATGTCTTGTTACTCCCTAGAAGTTTGCAGAACTTTATCCCGCTCATCAGAGAGACTGAAGATTATTTTGTCTCCATCTGCTATTTTCAGGATTTTTGCAAGTGCTTGTAAAAGCACTTTTCAGTGTAAATAGGATTTCCTGCAAGATCTGAATCCAGAATTTTCCGACATGGCCTGCAAAGCTTTAGACAAAGCAGAATGCTTATATAAAAAGGCCTCTTCTTATCAAACAGATCTAGTGGTAGTGTGCATTCATACCCATACATTCTTACTGTAACATTAAAGAAGCAGCCAAGTCTCCTGCTTTTTAGCAGTGTGGAGACAATGTTGTGTGTTTTGTTATATCTTGTACATCACCAGCTGCCAAGCTGTGGTGAGTTACATACCTGCAGTGGGGTACCATGTATGGCCTCAGAGGCCACACAACTGGTGATGCTCTACACAAATACAAGAATTCAGCTTGCTACAAGTAATACAGAGTCAGCAGTTACAAAAAACCCCATATTTTAATTATAAGCTGTATACTTTCAATCAGGAAATGCCAGAAAAATAGTTCAGAATTTCTATTTTAGTCAGTTTTCAGGACAGAACTGTACTTAAACAAGCACAGCTAGTTATGAAGAATCTCCAAGGATCCCTCCACCAATTCCCAATTTTCTGTAAGGATGCCTTTGTTCAAGGAAGGCAGCAACTCTGCTCCTTTCCCACGCCACACTCCCACCTATGTTCTCCTACTGTTCCCCAGACAGGCATTTCCTGCTAGCCTGCAACTTGTCTGCTCCCCTTTTTCAGACTGGCCAGACCTGCAGTGCTGCTCTCTGTTCTGCTGCCTGTGCGTGTGTTCCTGCCCAGTGCTGTGAAGGGGACGGGCTCTCAGGGGCAGGGCAGTGCGTTGGGCTCAAGCTGTCTGCTTGCGGTGAGTGTTCTTCTGCCACCCTGAAGTTACCTGTTCTGAGTCTGCAGAAGCAGAGTGATATTGCTGGGACACTTGAGGACATGAAAGCAAGCCCTGGTATTTTACTTTTTAGGGAAACCTCCATGACTTCTCCAAGCAGCCAGACTTAGCAGTGCATATTTAGGCCCTTAAAAGCAAGGATACAGGCAGGAAGAGTCAGAGCATCCTTTGGGGGTTGCGAGAAGTGGTTGCAGATCCCTACCTTCACTGCAGGTAGGGATCTCACTGACCAAAATTGCCCATGAAAACATTAGAATGGTTTTGGTTTTCTCTACTCTTGTACAGAGTAGAGAAATTAATATTTTAATATGCAGTTAGTTTGGGTATTGCTTGTAAAAGTAGTAAATAAACTTTTCAGATAAGAGAATGATTACTAAATTGATGGTGTCCTTCTAAAAGGTCTTTAATTTGGAGTGTATTTCAGAACTCACTTTTATTTCCAATCTCTTTATTTACAAAGCAAGTCTGCTTAAGAATTTACTTGTCGCATTTCATAATAAGGTGATTTATAATGGACTGGAAACTCTTTCCATACAAAGCCATATTTTAGCTATGTTTGTCTGTTACTTAGGGCCTCAATTCAGAGAGGGCTCCTAAGCATTCTTTCAATAGGAGCGGTAATACTAACAGCAACAAAAATAGAGGCAGTTAGATCTACTAAAGTTCAGGACATTAGCTCTGCAAGAATTTAAGTTGCAGG